ACGAGGAAGCACGCGTTCTCCCCGGCGCGGCGCCCTCCCGCTCCGTTTTCAAAAGCGGCCCCTCTTGCCAACAACTTTTGAGGATCGTGCGCTCTTCGCCCAATCGACTACGTAGATCCCCTTCACTTTCGGAGCTACAAGCACTACCTCCCCGTCAACCTCAAGCTCACAATTGCCGTTCTCCTTGAAAAAAGCTGATGCGATCTCGGTTGCCTTGCTCACCGAGATCAGATTTGCCGCAACCCCTGGGACGTACATCACATTCTGCAGAATGACCAGACACTCTCTGGTCCGATGTCACCGTTTATACTCGTGCAATTGTGCATGTTAGACTTAACCTTAGCCCAATCGTCATAGCTAGTCACATTGAGAGTTATCGGAGTGCTCCACAGCCGGCTTGAAACGGTACGTCACAGTGCAACCCTTTCAAAAAATGCCGCCTGAGTGTATTGTCGCATAAATTGGGTCGTGAATTCCTTACTTTTGTGGATATCTCAGGTCTTTGGTAGAGTGCTTAAAGCCTGCACGGCGGCTTACTAATGATACGTGCTCTGTGGAAAGGCTTGACATTGTGCTTTTGGCCGGATCCACTCATTGACGGCTCAAATCAATTACTCAGCGATCATCGTCTTCCTTCACATGCTGCCACATGCAACTCGCCACTGACCCGCCATACAATCGAAAGTTGGCACCGCTGGACCACTTCAATACACTTGGTGACTGCCTGACTATACACCTGGTTCCGAAGTTGACCAATACCTGGCATATCTCAAGCTGCCAACGAACCTCATCGTAATTTTCGCCGATGATTAGTTCCTTAAATGCGTGATGTTTTTAGTATGATCTAGCTGCCGTCAGGCACGCGCCAATCGGCGCATGTGGCAACGCGTCCGTTTTGAATTTGCACTTGCTGAGGATGCCCTTAGCGAGGCGTGACAAGGCCCCGTCCGGATGCCCTTACACTTGATACACTCGGCGCATGTTGCACGGTTGCGGCGGACACTGTGCTGAAGCACACTGTATCGCCGAGGTGCGTTTTTGGTACTACCCGGCGCGGTCGGGCAAGTTGGTAAACAAGCGGCCAGCGCTGGTCCACCCTTTTGAGTGCTGGGCGAGCCGCGAGCAAGGGCCGCCTCGAGGAGGAAATCATTGAATGCCATCCATGAGTTCGGTGAGGGACCAAAGTTCGGGCCCGTGTTGTACACAACGAAAATGCTATCGGGAGGGTACGAATCTCCGGGCCTGCTGCTTGGGTGGGCCCCAATCGCGGTCGGCGCTGGCGCGGTGACTTGGTTGAGGTAGTTGCGTCGGCCCTCGGCCCGGTAGTTCCGATCTAGCCGTTGCATTCACGATTGCGGCGCTGATCCCGCGATTTGAGGGGCAACCACCTATGATGCCGGGGCCATGGCCGTGCCGCCTCAGATGGGGGCAAACGGGGTGTGGGTGCGTCGGGCGACATGAAGGGGTAAGCGTGGGGCCGGCGGCTGGTAAATCAATGCTCAAATATGAATGCCCTCTAGCTAGGCTACTACATGGCTAGGGCTGCTACCTAGGCTAGGTATAGCCTAGGTACACAATGTAAATGCGTGTGTTATATGCTAGTACGCACAATTCTTGGAACTGTCTGTCACTCTCCTTGGCAAATCACTAGCTTCTTGTGAAACACTTTCATTGTGTTGTTCTCAGAATCATGCATATTAGGATCGAAGGTCAAAAGATATATCCGAGTTGTATTGCCCGCTTCTGATTTACCACATGCTTGCACGGCAAGATCTGCCATTCTCGGTCATGGCTTGAGAATAGCCTCGGCACCAAGGTGAGCCATTGCAATGATTTTAGTTTGATCCGATTTGGTGGCGGTAGGGCAGCCCCATACATGGAACTCTTGCGATGGCCTTGCAAAATTTTCTTCATCGCGATAAGCACCAATCATGGCAAGTTTCCGAAGGGGTTATCTAGTGTAATTTGAGCTTCAATGTAGTGCATGTATTAATCGAAGGACCACTTGGTGCCCACTCTGCTGGAATGTGTACTTGAGAGCTAGCAAGGCTATCATGCCGTCCACATGACAGGGCCTGTACATCCATCCAACTAGATGACAGTAGCAATTTCATTCTACGTTTTCTGATGATGAACGGACCTTCTTGCATGCATGGGGCAGTTCACATAGCTGAAAAGTTGCTCGATCTGACGTTTACACCAAAGGGACTATGATGCACAACGCAACCCTTAGAGGCGGGCATGAGCTCAAGCGCGAGGTAGACTTGGAAACCACCCAAACAGTCCAAGCGAGATAATGTACAAGGCCGGATTGCGAAGTTCATTGGAAGGCTCTTTCATGCCTACTTCTTCTCCTTCTTGGCCTTCTTCTCCTTCTTCTCCGGAACCTCAGCCGGGCTGCAAAAGCACGCAAAAAAGGTTTGCATATCAGAGGCAGCAAAAAGAGCTGCCAACTTTGTCAACGAAGCTGTCTCACTCTCTTACATGAACTCAAATCGAGCTTCAACCTGCCCCCATTCGAAAGAACCAACGGCGGGCACTATGTTGGACAGCCAGCACCCCTTCCTGGTGCGGGGTAAATGCGGAGCTACAGGTGACAAGAACTGTTGTTACCTTTCTCTCCACAATTTTTACCAGATACGAATGCCAACCAGAAGCCCACGCCTTTCATCCATTTTAAAAGCTTCTCTACGACGGTGGGGTTGAACTTACGTGTCCGCCGGCTGTGGCTCCGCCTCTGCCGCGGTATCCTGGACCCCCTGCACGCAGCCAGCACAGCAACGTCAGCCCCGTAGCACGCTCCGTTCCCAGCTTGCTCATTCAGCGCCGTCCTTGCATCCTCAATTGCGACCAGCAGCTGCTACGCGGCAGGCACTGCGCGACATGGCCACCGCTGGATGCACCAGCAGCCCCAGGGTGCCTCATCAAACATGGCCCCTGCCTCGCATCTCCCGTGCCCCCTTTCCTCCCCGGCCCGTGCTGCTCAATAACTCCACCTGTGCTCTGTGGTGCTCACCTGGGCGAGACGGTCCTCGCGGCGCGCAATCTTGCGCTCGCGGGACGCCTTGTTCTTGGCGCGGCGCGCCTCAAACTGGTCGGTCAGCGTCTTCTCGCGCGCCTTCTCGGCCTTGGACTTGTGGATGGCCTCCATGAGCACGCGCTTGTTCTTGTACACGTTCCCCTTGCACCGCATGTACATGTCGTGGTACATGTGGCGGTCAATCTTCTTGGCCTCGCGGTACTTGCGCAGCAACCGCCGCAGCACGCGCAGCCGCCGCAGCCACAGCACCTTGGTCGGCAACCGCGCCTCCCGCGTCCCCCGCCGCTTGCCTGCACAACACCCCACGCCCGCGCCCACCTCAGCACAGGCCCGCTACAAGGACCGACCACCATTACCGCCACCCCAGAGGAAACCAGAATTGCTGCCTTCAGTGCTAGAGGTTTGAGCCTGTCTGGGGGGGTGTGCCTAAATTCAAAGGGTGAGGCCATGCCAGCCCATCCGTCTCTTGCATTGGACAGGCTGCCGTGCTGCCCACTGAGTGCCTCTGCAGCGCCTGCTGACCGGGTTGGGAGAGTGGAGGAAGCATGCTTGTACACCACGCTTCAGCCAAAGACCGTTACCAGCAGGGAGGACGCGTGCTAGCAGCAGAAAGCGGACATACATTCTCACCAATCACCGGCGCGATTCTGTCTTAATCCAAACCTGCTGCTTATATGTGTGGCCCTTCGCATCTTCTGCAGACAACCAGCCCCCAGCCTCATATGGGCAAGGAGGAAGAGCATCTCTGTAAGAAACCCCTCACCGTAGCCTGTGTGGCGACCCTTCCTCTTGGCCTCCAGCGCGCGGCGTGCACGGTCACGCGAGTGGATCTTCTGGGGCTTGCGGATGACAAAGCCGTCCTTAATCAACTTGCGGATATTCTGCCCTGCGCCAGCCAAGACAGCCACACGCGGGGTCAGGCAGGCAGGCACGCAGCGTGGCCAAGAAAAGCACACGGCCCAGCGGGCAGGGAAGTGCGCAGCACAGCCGCACCATATTCTCCCGCCCTCCAACCAGCAATCAGCAAGCGGTGCCGCCACTCGCTGGCCTGCTGAAAGACCACCCAGGCAGGGCAAAATTGCCGGTCTGCTGCTCACAGCTGCAACCAGGGTTGCCCAAAAGCACGGCCGTGCCTCCTGAGACTCAATAGACAACGGGGTCCGCAATCATAAGCGCACTATTACCGCATGGCGGGGGCGCACTCACTGGAGTTGGCCATGGAGATCTCGTTGACTTCGTTGGGGTCCAGCCATACTTTCCTCTCCCCCACCTTGAGCACGCTCGCGGCGAGCCGCTTCTGCAGCTTCAGGCTCACCATGGCGCCGCCGGCGGGCGTCCTTCCCTCACACACTGAGGCACGGCTGGAAAAGGACCGATGCGGGCACGCCACCACGCAGGTCACCAGCTGGAGGACCCGAGGCTCAAGAAACGGGTTAACCAATCAAGCGCAGTCCCGCCCGGGCGCCACCGGGGTCGATTCAGTGCACCGGCACACCCACCTACTGCAATTACGCGATTGCGCTTGCACCAGTGCCCGGGGCCGTGCCCGTGCGTGCACGTACGGCAGTTGCTTCAAGGTTGGGTTTTAGTATAAACCCTAAGTGGCAAACTCGCAAGTCTCGAGTCCGAGTCGCCTTCACATTTCACTTGTCCGACTGTGGCCCGTCTGGGAGCTCTCGAGAGCAGATGGGTGTTCTTAGCGCGACCTGGCGTGACCTCCAGGTGGGTGCGCTCGCATTCCCCTTCCGTCCGCCTTGTTTCGGGGCAACCGACTGCTCACCTGCCCTGTGAGCCTCGCTGCATTGCTCACAACGGCACCTTGCACCAGGACACATTGCTGCTCCGCCGCGCCGCTGCGCCCCCTGGTTCCCCCTCTCGCGGTCCGGCCGCTCTGCGGGCCTGCTACTCGATGCTGCGCGCTGTGCATAGTGGCTGTGAGCGCTGCCTCCCCCCTCCCTGCGCCCTGCTGCCGGCGCCGCCATGAGCGGGGCTGCGCCTCCCCCTCTCCCTGCCTCTGAGCCAGCCTCCTCCACTGCTCCCGTGTCCGCTGACCTCATGCCGGGGCGCCCCTTCCGCAGTGGGCTGCCCGGAGGGGCCGACCCGGGCCAGTGGCACGAGGAGGACCCTGCAGCGCACCCCGCAGAGGACCCCCCGCAGGTGAGCCATGCGCGCCCCCCCAGCAGGCTGGCCCGTGCACGCTCCGTGCTGGCCCGCATGCCCGCCCTGCCGGTCTGCCCCCCTGGGTTGTGCTGCCAGGGCCGGCGCATGCCTGGTGTGCCGCCTCCTCGCTCTCCGCCCGCTCGCTGCCGCTCCCCTCATTGCCTGCCCGCATCCCCGGCTGGGCCTGCGGTGCACTACGGGTCCTCCCTGCGAGGGCGCCCCGGTCCGTGAGTGTGCGCTGTGCTGCTGCTGCCCGCTGGGGCTGCCCACTCCCCCTCCCCCCGCCTTGCTCAAGCGCGGTCCCCCTCTCCCTGGTGCAGGCCCTGGACGGCGAGCAGGTGCAGGCGCGCCTCAAGGTGGCCACCTGGCAGCGCCACACGCAGGTGCCCTTGATCGCCCCATTGTCAGCAGCATCCGCTGCCGTGCCCCTTCCCGCTCCTGCCCCAGCTGGGCCACACCTGGGCCGCAGCGTGGGCGCCTCGTGCGTGCCCTCCCGCGCCCCCGCTTTCGCGTGCGGCTGACTGCGCTGACCTGCTGCCTGCTGCCCCTGCTGCAGGAGCCAGCCCCCCACCCCAACGGCGGTCCCCCTGCTGCCCCCCCCTTGGCGCTGCTCAATGGCGCTCCTGCAGCCCCTGACGGTGGCGGCCTCAGCAATGGGCGAGGGCCGCATGAGAGCTCCCCTAGCACGGCCGAACTGTCCCCCTCCTCCACTCTCGCCGCCTCCTCCCCGCAGCACCACGGCGCCGACCTGCGCCTCTCCGACCACACGCGGTGCGCACCCGCTCCCCTCGTGCGCTGCACCAATTGCGCCCCCAGGGACAGCTCTGCTCCCGGCTGCCCCCCACCACGGGCTCAGCCTGGCCTCCCTCTGACTGCCTCTGCTGCGTGTGGCCGTTGCAGGCGGCTGGCATCCGTGCGGACAGTCGGCGTGCGGGCAGCTCGCCCCCCCGAGGCGGTGACGGCGGCCCTGGCTGAGTGTGAGCGCGCGCTGGCAGCGGCGCACGTGCGTGAGGCGGAGCTGCAGCGCGAGACGCGCGTCCTGGCCGCACGCCTGGCGCACCTGCGCATGGTCAGCTCCGACCCTGGGAGGTGGCCCCTCCCCCCTGGCCCTTGCAATAGCCCGGCGCCCCTTGGGCGGGCCTGGCTCGCCGAACTGAACTCTGCCTCTTTTCTGCTTCTTGCTTGCTTCTCTCATGCATGCAGTGATGCACTGCGACAACTTGGGGAAGGCCCCCGCTCGCAACCTGTCTTGTCCTTTACGACCTACCCCCTTTTGCCTGCCATCTTGCAAGCCCCCCGACAGTCCATGCTTGCGCGTGCGTGCAGGCGCACGAGGTGCAGGCGGGCAAGCTGGCGGAGGCGGCCGGGCGCGCGGTGGCGGCGCGGCGTGAGGTGGTAGTGGAAAATGCTGCGCTGGCCAGCGCGCTGGCGGCGGCGCAGCACAGCACGGCGGTGTATGCGCAGCAGCTCCTCCCGCTGCTCGCGCCGCACGGCCTCACGCCGCCGCCGGGCGACCCATCCGCCGTGGCCGCCGCGGTGGCCACCCTCGTGGACCGCCTCGCCTCCGAGATCAACCTGCTGCAGGTACGCGCCGCGCCGCGCCGCCCCTGCCGCCCCTGCCTTCACCAGATTGGCTCTCTCTGTGTTCAGAGTCTCCTTTCCGCCCATGCAAAAAAGGGTTGGGCAATCCCCTTGTAGACTCCCAATGCCAACCGCTAGGGTCGCACTGCCATGTCTTGCATCAGCCTCGTCTCTGCGCTGCCGCGCCCTGCACAATCGGAACCGGGCTGCCCTCCTGACCCTCGTCGATCCACCCACTCGCTGACTGCCTCGAATAAGGATGCACCCCCAACGATCACTTTGACCCGCGCACCTTCTGCAACACCTGCCTCGACCCCCCTCGGGTGACTCGCCAGGCAGACTGCTGGCGCTGCCCCTTTGGTCCACTGTCCGCCCGTCCCCTCTCTCCTTTTCACGCACTCTGCCACTGCGGCAGCCTCACATGGCCAGTGCCCCTGTAGCCGCCCCACCCCGTGTTCCCCCAGCCCTAGTTTGCAGCCTGCCTCCTCTTCTTGCCCCCCTGCGCGCTCCCCCCTCCTCCTCCCTGCGCTCCAGGGGGTGCCCCTCGGCCCCCCTCTCCTCCAAGCAGCCCGTCTCCCTGCTGGATGAACCACGTGTTCCTCTACACTGCCCTCTCAAACAGTGGCTTCTCTATCCACTTCTGGGCCCTCCTGACGATGTCTCTTGCGGATTTGATCCTTTATGAGTGCACCTCCGTGCTTTGCTCCCTGCTGTCGACGACCTGCATATTCTGTGCCAGAAGGGTTTTGCCCAGGCTAACTTCCTTGACGCAAGCGCCGTCTTGTTGTGTCCTTCCTGTCGTCCTTCTCTCTGGCCCTGTCATGCTTACCCCTTGCTGCTCGCCCGCACCTGAGGCCTGCCTCGTCACCGCTCCCTTGGAGTACACTACTGCTCGTATTCTGCTGCAGCAACCTGACATACGACACTGCGACCGTCCTGATGCTGCAGCAGCAGCTGCCTGCTCGCAAAGAGCACAACCCTCCCGATCCCCAATCTTCTTTTTCACGCTGGCTCCTCCCCCCTCCGGCTGTTCCCTGCAGAAGGTGGTGGCGGGCGGCGGCCCTGTTCTGGAGCAGCGCCTGCACGCCGCTGTCCTGGACGCTGCCGCTCTCCCTGCGCCCCTCGCCCCGGCCCCCGTGCCGCCGCCCCCCATGCAGGACGTGCGTGGCAGCGCCGACAGCTCCCTCAGCCTCGCCACCGGCATTGGCCCCGCCCCCCCTGCGGGTCCCCCCCTCTTTCCTGGTGGCACCTGGTCGCCCCTCCCGCCGGGCGCGCACCCGCCCGCCCAGGCCGCCAGTCAGCCCTCGTCCCCACCCCCTGCGGAGCTGCGCTCGCCGACCGCGAGCGCTGCCCCGCTGGGGCGGCCCCCTGTGGAGGAGGGGTCCCCCGGGCAGTGGTCCCCCGGGGCGAGCGGCG